GATGTGTTGGTTTTTCTTGCCAAAGAAGCATGCACCGTCCTTGCCAACTAAGAAAATACAGAGAAGAAAACTCAAGTGTGAAATGAAAACTTAGTATTAAATCTACCGAATCAACCTTTTTGGATCGATGAGGAGGGTCATACAGTCAAAGAGAATCGGTAAATAAATACTGAATAGACAAGAAATGTTGTCTCCACAGGCCTCGGGTTTTTTTTAATTCGACTGCTCCGCATGATGGCATCGAGATAGAGAAAGCAATGAAAATACAGAAGCTTGTTGAAGGAGTCACAATCGTTTCCACAACTCCCCCACATATCACTGCATTTCCTGTCTTCACAGTCACAGTCAGACAAACAAAGAAGCTTCTCAGACGGCTTTAGAAAAGTTCCACGCAGGCATTTTGAGCAAATTGACTCGCGTTGATGTGTAAAAAATTATTTCCGAAACTTGAGCACCTGTCGGCCAATAAACTTTAGTAAACCTTGGTCGATTTATTTCATCATGACATATGTAAACAATTGAGAGAATCCATCATGGCACAAGATTCGCGCAAGATTAATGTAATTTCTCATTTCTTTCCTTTAATCAAAGTGTGAATTTTTCTATTGGACTTTTAACGTGCGATTAGTATCTAATGCGATTGAAGTCAAACGTGTCCATGGCCTATAAATGACATTGACCGAACGTTTCTGTCACACCTAGAGCTGGCAAAATGGGTTCATAACCCATTTTTTGACTCAAATTCAATGAGCCGGATCAGATGTGAGTTATTTGAAAATCTAAAAACAGGTTAAAGTGGGTTCATAACATCAAAGTCCAACTAGACATGGGTCTTAATGGGTTTGAAAACAAACACCCATTTATAACCCATTTAAGTCCAAAAAGGTTATTAGCTTAAGAAAAATAAAATACGGGGTGATAGAATTGAAGGGTTGTATTCCTTTCTCTTTCGTATACTGACTTCGTCTCTTTTTCATTTTTTAATTTTACAAATTTGAAGGTGTTTAAGCTACGGCTTCTAGGAGATCTTCTATTAGCACACGATCGAGAGCTTTCAAAATGAACATGGAAGAGCAGAATGCCCGCTTCATTTCTATGGAGAGCAAAATCGAGTAGTTGACCGCTCTTTTCACCAACCTAGCTCAACAATCGAAAGCAATCGCGACGTGGTCTACTCCGGCGTGCTCATCACCATCGACTCCTCCCTAACCATTAGTCCAAGAGCCTAAGGAGAAAGTGACCGGAGAGCCGTCTCGAGTGCCTCCGATGGTGGTGGATCCTGACCCAATCTCCAAGGCCTTGGCTGCTAAATATGAAGAGGAGAGTGACAGCCGCTTCGCCAAGCTTGAGGAAAAGCTCTATCTGATTTACGGGTATGAGCCGCAATCTATGACGGGTGTACTCCATCTTACAAAGATGAAATTCCCGGAGAAATTCAAAATCCCTGAATTTACCATGTATGACGGAATCGGAGATCCCGTGTGCATTTGAAGTACTATCTAATGAGGATGGGTCGATATGTGGAGAACGTCCCCCTCTTGGTAGATCGACTCATACCAGACATTTTGTACGGGCATATAGTAGATGAAAAGAGATTATTTGAAATCGTTGTACATTATGGATGGATGTAAGCTGGTGGACAAACGGTACCTTACAAAAGCTCAAACACTTCTGTCTAGTAGTACGAGTACTGCAAGGAACATACCATATCGGTACAAGGGGGAGAGATAATCTTTTCCTGTCCGTATCTCCATTCCTTTTCTAATCCAACCAAATAATTAAGGCAAAAGGACACTATAAGTGCCATAAGTTGTATACGGAGATCACTTTGATGCCATAACTTTTTTTCGGATCACTTTAGTGCCAACTTTTTTGAAAAACGATCACTTTAGTGCCAATGCTGACATGGCTGCCGGAAATCTGACGTGGCTCTTTTTTTATTAATTTCCGATGCTGACATGACTCACCGGAAATTTGACGTAGCTCTTTTTTTTGCCGGAATTTTGGCCGGATTCACTAAAGTGGTCTCTTTTCCTCCGACTTGGCACCAAAGTGATCCGAAAAAAAGTTATGGCACCAAAGTGATCTCTGTACACAACTTATGGCACTTATAGTGTCCTTTTGCCAAATAATTAATTATTCATGTAAATAAGGGTAGCCGCTGAATTGATAATTGAATACTAACGATTGAGCTTCGGTGAGAAACCAATATATGTAGATAGGGATAAGAACAGTGCAAGTGCCACAACTTTCGTACAGCGCTCACTTGAGTGTCATAACTTTTTTTTTGTTCACTTGAGTGCCACAAATTCGAAAAATCGATCACTTGAGTGCCATCGGCGATTTGCCTCGCCGAAAAATCTGACGTGAACGCTGGTTGTTCGACATGGCTTCGCCGGCGCTGACGTGGACAATTTTTAAATATATTTTTGAATTATTTTATTTTATTTTATTTTTTTAATTACTTTTTTTTTACTTTTGAATTTTTCTTTTCCTTTTTTTAGCCTTTTTTTTTAATGCCGGTGAGGGTCACCAACAACCCTCGCCGGCTGCGAAGCCCTAGCCCATATGGGCGACGGTCGCCTTGCCCTCTGCCATGAAGGCCCAGGCAAGGCAATCGCGGCCTCGCCGGCAGTGGGCGAGGCCGCGAAGGCCATCGCCAGATCTGGGCGGCCGTGGTCAAGGCGTTGCAGCTAGATTTGGCGAGGCCACTTTGCCCGCGGCCGTCCAGATCTGGCGATGGCCTTCTTGGCCTCGCCCACTGCCGGAGAGGCCGCAATGGCCTTGCTTGAGCCTTCGCGGCGGAGGGCAAGGCGGCCCTCGCCCATTTGGGGAGGTCACCGATAACCCTCGCCAACCTTGAAAAAAAAAGCAAATTAAAAAAGGAAAAGAAAAATAAAAACTAAAAATAAATCAAATTCAAAATAAATAAATAAAATTTTAAAAAATAATAATAAACATTTAAAAAATCCACGTTGGATGGAAAATTAATTTAAAAAGCCAAGTTGGATTTGCTGGAAATGGCACTCAAATGATCAATTTTACTCTGATGTGGTACTTAAGTGAGCGAAAAAAAAAGTTATGGTACTCAAGTAAACGTCGTACGAAAGTTATTGCACTTGCGTTGTTCTTATCACTATGTAGATACAACTAACTCTTAAGGAAACTTTAACAAAATTTATGTAGGCACAGCTTAAAAACAACCGTCCAAGCACACGAGAATTTCAAGACATCAACCTTTGAACTTTCCTGACAAGGACCAACTATACCTAGATAAAACATGAAAACCGACATTTGCTCTTGACTGTAGAAGCAAAATACGATGCATAGAACTTAATAAATACATAAATGGTTGAGAGCTGACATCTTCATTTTTCTTACCAGGACTTGGTATTTTGTGCATAGCCTTCTCTAGAAAACTTTGAATTGCATAAAATCTTATGCATTTGAGACTAGACACACGGAACTATCCGATCATATATGTCATTTGACCATAGTGCAGCACACTAAACCTCTTAGAAATCTAAAGAAATTGACCCTTAATTCTGCGAGTGGAGAAGAACCGAGCTGCCAAATAATTTAGCAATAATTATTTGGATAAGGATCAAACCTCGTAATATGATCCTTCATCAACATAGGCCATTACTATACAACAATTTGTTCTCATCGAAAGGAGGCCTTGCACTTGAAAACAAGATGATCAAACTGAGCGTTAATAACACAAACCGGAGAATTTGTCAATATTCGAACTTTATATTGATCTATGCTTTGATATATATTAGGCATCTACTTCTCTTAGAAATTTTATTTTAAAGAACTTCTCTTAGAAATTGAAGCTAAAAAAACGAAGGGGTGAGCAACAAGGACCAATCGAACTGGGAACCGGACCAGCCGGTTCTAGATGGTTTCCAAGAGCATCGGTCCGGTTCCCGATTCCATAAAATTGGAACCGGTGATTTTCGGTCCAGTCCCCCGTTCCAGGGCGGAATCGGACCACTTGAACTGGACCAATTATTTTTTATCTATTTTATTTTTATTTCTCACGCATCCATTCCTCTCCTCTTTCCTTCGCCTCTCACAATTCACGAGTCAAGTCACGCCTATGCTCTTTCCCTCTCCTCTCTCACGCACACCTCTTCAGACTTTCACAACCCTAATCGGCTAAACCCTGATTGCCTCTCAGCCTCGCTCGTCAACGGTAATCGCCTCTCAGGAATCACGACGGTGAGCACACCATCAGCGCTCATGGAAGCTGCAACCTCACTCACCCTCATCCTATGGTTCCTCCATAGCTTCACCTTGATAGTCTTGTCCCCACGGCCAATCACCCACAAGGCATGGCCCCACCGGATCTCCGCCCTCAACTCGTTCGGCCTAAGCCACAGCCTTCCCATCTTGTACAAGAAGGCCGCCACCGTCTCTTCCTCGGTGACCTGGTCGTACAACGTGGTTCCCCACACACGCTGGGTGGCAAGAAGTTCAAGAGGGGCAACGAAAATGAAGGCCGCGTCATTGATTTTTTTCCGATGCTCGTCATGCGGGTCTGACATTGGACCGCCTGAGAACTAGACCAGTCTCCTATTCCAAAATTGGGAATCGGTCCTTCTAATCTCGTTCCCGATTTCTAGATAGGACCGGACCGGACCGAGAACCGATCACCCTTTTGAAAAAGAATGCGTGCACGGCTCTTAAGTTTGAAGTAATCGGAGCTGCCAAAAGCTGTACATTGGCTCAGGGTTGCCAGTAATGTTCGATTTCCCAATCCCCCGGATAATTAATCTCTTTTCATGTGTAGACCACGAGACATTAACATATGGAGACCTTTGACAAGTAATCCACCAACTCCATTTAAACAAAGATTATTACATCATTTGGCAGTGTAAACATCAGTTTTCAACGAAAACCGCGTTTCCCCTACTTCATCAATGATTCGTCCCATATCATCATCTCTTTATTGCCTAATCCCTTATATTATATTACTGTCTGAATTTGACTCTCTCAATTTTTTTTCTTTTCTTTTTCCTTTCATCTTTCTGAACGTCGAATCGCCATATACTTTCATGACTCTACGTGTTAGGTCACCCGCTGAACCCCTTGTCGCCTTGAGAACCGCCCACTATATAATCCCCACTCGTATCGAGTCATTTCTTCATCACACCCACAACACAGTTCGTTATTAGCGTGCTGAAAATGGCCTGGTCCTCTTCATTTTCGAAGGCCATCTTGACTTTGGCATGCGTTGTGCTCCTCATTGGGGGCACGAGTGCCCAACTTTCGATCTTCTACTACGCCAAAACTTGCCCCCAACTCTTCCCGACGGTGAAGTCAATCGTGCATGAAGCGATTGCCAAAGAGGCCCGCATGGGTGCCTCGCTCACACGCTTGTTCTTCCACGATTGCTTCGTCAATGTAACTTCTCTTTCTCATCCACTTTAACTTCTCAACATTATTCCCCAATACTTAAGACCAATTCATACATTCACGTTTCTTACAATTGAAAAAGCTATCAATGCTCTTAGCGAAGAAAGAGTTTGGCTAAGTAAACAACAAACCAAAGTCATTGCCTCATTGATGTTCATGGTATATTTATCAGGGTTGCGACGGATCGAACCTCTTGGACGACACGCCCACTTTCACCGGAGAGAAGAACGCTGCCCCGAACAAAAATTCCTTGCGAGGGTTCGATGTGGTGGACAAGATTAAGTCCGCGGTAGAGAAAGTGTGCCCCGGCGTTGTCTCGTGTGCTGATTTGTTGGCGATTATCTCCCGAGACTCCGTTGAGATAGTAAGTCATTGGAACTCGACTAGCTATGGAACAGTAGAGACGAAAGCTTCTGATTATTTTGGATGAGTAATAATTTGTTGCGAATGAATTTGGGCAGCTGGGAGGGCCAGGGTGGGATGTGAAGCTGGGCAGGAGAGATGCGAGAACTGCGAGCCAGGCAGCAGCTAACAACAGCATCCCTCCTCCAACTAATAACCTCAACGCTCTCATTTCCAGCTTCCAAAATCATGGCCTTTCTCAAAAGGACCTCGTCGCACTATACGGTGAATTTCCCCCCCCTCTCTCTCTCTCTCTCTCTCTCTCTCGAGAAAAATTTGGTAATTTGCAAAAATCCATGAGGAAATGATTTCGCACCAGCAACTACTCCATAAACCAAATCTATTAAATCTAGTTGATCACATTTCAAGAATTTATGAGATCCACACTGGTCCTGCTAAAGAACACACAAATGTTAATGCAATTCTACACTTTACTTGGTTCCCCCTCATCACCCTTAGAATTTTATAAGATCCAAACTACTCTAATTAATACTTGTTTGTATGTTCTCTTGCTCTTAAATACGCAGGAGCACACACAATTGGGCAAGCGAGATGCACAAACTTCCGGGCCAGGATCTACAACGAGAGCAACATCGACAGCTCATTTGCCCGAACGATGAAGAGCAACTGCCCAAGCACCACCGGTGTCGGCGATAACAACCTGGACGGGCTCGACTTCCAGAGCGCAACATCATTCGACAACACCTACTACGTCAACCTTATCAAGAAACGAGGCCTCCTCCACTCCGACCAACAGCTCTTCAACGGTGGGTCCACCGACTCGCTCATCAGGACTTACGCCAAAAGCCAAGACACCTTCTTCAAGGACTTTGTGGCCTCCATGATCAATATGGGCGACATCAAGCCCCTCACCGGATCCAACGGCGAGATCAGGAAGAACTGTAGGAGGATTAATTAATTTGATGAATTTTGGGTCTATATATACTCCTTAATTTGGAGTTTCAGCAATAAATTTCTCTTTGATCGAGTTCTATTTTCCTGGTGTTTGTTCTGTCGTTTGCATTTGAAGTTTTCGCTGTGGTGTGACCGTCGAGATGGAATTGTAAGAGTCGAATATTGTAATAAAAGTCCTGTCGAGATTTCGTCAACTGTTACACATTTCTTTGCCCGAAAAACGAAAGTTGTTAGGAAATGTATCATGATGTTTACCAGTAGCCACTATTAATATGAACTTCTCTATCGTCTCGTGGGCATGTAGCAGGTACATCTAACAGAGGAGATCAAAGAAGAGGAGGAAGAAAAAGCAAAAAGAAAACAATTTCCTCTAGATTTGATGTGCTGGTTTAGAAATATATGAGAGATTTCGAGAGTATCGGGTTTGTTCTGTTGCTTAACCGTTGACACCTGAAACAAATTCATCATACATTTTTAAGGAGAATCATCTTAGGAATGGGATTCGTCGATAATAGCGGAATTCGACTTCTAATTGAAGATGCCGTCGTTTCCTCATTTTGCATTCATTTTCTCCGCCAAGTTTCTTCTGGACATCTGAACTAGGGACATTGCAGCTTCAGCACCTTGGGCCTTGCGGCCGAAATTTGGATTGACAAAGTACTAGAGGCCGGTCAATGTTGACGGCCCAGTTTGACTTTTACAGTAAAGCCCGTTTGTACTTCTTAACCCAATTCGAGCTCATTAATCCTAATTTTTTGCCTGTTAAGCTTCCAAGCATAAAACAAGATAAAAAGAAGACCGAGACGAGCTCGAACCCGGAAGACCCGGCCCAGCCGCCACACCAAGCCTAGCCTGAGCTCGGACGAAGTCCCTGATGCCGGTACCCTACACATGGCCAAACCACCCTTTGCGACATATACAAAAGGAGAGAGAAATATATTCAAAATACTTTTGCGCATGCTTACAACTCATAAAACACACACCTAGAGTCGCTCTCTTACAAACTTTTCTCTTCAAAGCTTAACTCTACATCTAAGGCTACTTCACAAAAGGTACTCCCTGATGTATATATAGAATAATCCCACCGCCACAATTGCAATGATGAAGGTGGGAGCCCCACCGCAGCTTGAAAAGCCAAAAGTTAAGGGGGTAACGTGAGTGCCTGAGCAACAAAAAGTGAAGAAAACAAACCACTGCCTTTATCCTTTTGTTTTTTTCTGACCAGATCTTCTCGCACTCAATCGCCAAATACCACCGCCATAAGTAATATCTAGGCTAGTATAATAAGTCAAATATTTTAAACCGCCAATAATGCTTTAAAATTAGTGCGATTTACTAGTTCATCGATTCCTTCTATCTTCAACTTCAATCGTTCTGCTATGGGAGTCCGAATTGATCTAAATGATTTCATCTTCAATCACTTCGAAAAAATCATTAGTATGTGAAATGCTTGACTGGTTGGGGAATTAAAAGCTTTTTTTCTAGGGTTAATATCATGAAAAATCCTAAACTGATACACCTATGACAAATTTGCCTCGAACTAATTTTTTTATCACAAAAAACCCCAAACTAGTACACCTGTGATAAATTTATCCCAAACTAATTTTTTGACCATAAAAAAACCAAAACTGGTACATTTGTGATAAATTTACTCTCCGTTAATTTCCGTTAAATTGGATTAATACCACAAAAAATCACAAACTGGTATACCCGTGACAAACGAAGGGTAAAACAGAAAATAGGTACATCCATCAACTATTGCGAGTCATTTAACAAAGCAATTTGACAGTAAAATTTAACAGAAACAAACGGAGGGTAAATTTGTCACATGTATACCAGTTTTAGATTATGGTGGTTAAAAAATTAGTTTGAGGTAAATTTATCACAAGTGTACTAGTTTAGGGTTTTTCGTTGTATTAGCCCTTTTTTCTATTACCATCAATAATACGAGCTCAATTGACTTGGGAGTTCAATACTTGAAAAAGAGACTTAAATCATGAAACTCTCTACTATTGATAGGTGAGTTACTCCACATGAGATGTTGAATTTGATTATGAGAGAGGAGTTGAAAGATATAGATGATTCCATTATTAGAATACGCTTGGTTGTGCATTATGTGAGAACTTCTCCTGCGAGGATGCAACGGTTTAAGAGGTGCATTAAGCTAAAAAATATCAAGTCCAAGAGTTTTGTATGTTTGAATGTAGAGACTCATTGAAACTCAACATACATGATGTTAGAAGCGGCTTTGAAGCTTAAAAAGGCTTTTGTCTTATTATATTCAGGATAACAAATTTGTAGAAGAGCTTTCCAAGGTGAAAGGGTTGCCACTAGTAATGATTGGGAATATGCCTGTCAATTTCCTCCATTCTTCAAGTTATTCTATAATACGACTTTAAAAGTATCGGTTTCTTCTTATGTCACTCATAATGATATGGTGAAAGATTTTATGGGGTTCTTAAGATGATTGATAGAAATTGTAAGAATAAGGACAAAAGTTTGCAGGAAATGGCCAAGAAAATGAAGACCAAATTCAATAAGTATTTTGGCAATGTGAAAAACATCAATCTAACTTTGTTCATTGCATGCATACTTGACCCTCGACATAAGGTGGAAACTTTACGAGTTAAAGTAACATCTCTTACGTTATTGTTCCAGTGATATCGCACCGTTATATGTCCCAAAACAACTTGAGGTTAAAGGGTACGAGGATAATAAGCGTGTCAAAGTCTCCCGTGGTTGGTGTGAACATTATGACTGCAATGTATCTTAGCCAAATGGGACAACAATATTTGGAAGAAAAATCTGAATTAGATAAGCAATTAGAAGAAGGATGTGAACGCTATAGCTCCTACTTCGATATTTTAAATTGGTGGAAAGTCAATTCTTCGAGATATCCTATCCTTTCTTCCATTGAGATATTTCGGCCGTGCCCATCTTGACTATAGCATCAGAGGCTGCATTTAGCACAAGAGCTCGTGCACTTGACATGTTTCATAGCTCCTTGACCCCAACTATGTTGGAGGCTCTTATGTGTTCTCAAAATTGGTTATGATCCGCACCACTATCACAGTCAATCAAGAAGGACTTAGAAGAACTTGAAAATTTTGAGTCAGGTAAGAAAACATTACTGTGGAGTTTTTTATATCCTTTAACATTACAATAAATACTTCGATTCTCATTTTCATTGTAAATTTAATGCATAGTTGTCAACTACAACCACGAAGCTAAACTCGATATTGCTTTCTCCCAATAATTGACGAACTTGGAGATTGGTACATGTTAAACCATTTTCTTATTGAGATTTTGAGAGGGAATTTTAAGAATGACGGTAGTTTTGTAGTTACCTAGTGATCCTTCATGTCTTCAAATTCTGTTAATATGGAGCAAAGTCAGTCCTCTCTTTTGTGTGCTTGCTCCTATGTCGGTGATATTTTTTTTATAGTGAGAGAGGATGGATAATGCATTATTGCTAGTCTTCAGTGTTGTTGTGCTTGTATATTGGTTCTTCCATCAATATGTTTGGTTTTCAACTTCAATGTCTAATTGCTTATTCTCCTTTTGACTTTTTTACATGTTTGCTTCACTTAGAAAATGTTTACAGTTTTGTCCCATAAAATATACAGTTGATTGATATGCAACAAATTTAAATGTACAGGCATATTGTGTTGCTCGTTGTTTATGTGTGATGTCAAATGCCGGTTGTATGCATTTGTTTGTTGTTCGTTGTTCATTTGAAAAATGTAGTGAGATGGACATGTATAATGCTATATTAATATTGATTTCTCACCAAATTGTCAACTTTCTAGCTTTGAACATAATAAGGGTGTTTGCTGGTTACTTTTGTTCATATATGGAATGTGAGGAATTTGATATCCCGTTTGGCTCAGATGGGTTGGATTTACTTTCTGTAACTTGAAACTACTTATGAGTTCAACTAGTGTTTCAATTAGTGAAATAATTAATGTCAGTTCACTAATAATTAAAAATTGATATCTTTCGCAGCAAATGTTGCGTTATGAGCCCTCAAGGAGGATTCCTGCGAAGGTGACTATAGAACATCGTTATTTCAATGACGTTAGAAAGACTTGCCTATGAGACTGCGCAAATTGTAGATTAGAAATTGGGATTTGGAATTTCAGTGAACTAAAAAGATATGTACTGAAAACTAATAGCTTGCCTCAAGCATGACCTTTTGTGTACCATGTGCTTTTGTCAAATAATATCTTTTCTAGGATGATTGTTGCCAATCTTAAGTAGTGGATGCATCAATGTCAATTTTAATTAGTGTTGGTTGTTTGGTTTAAAAAAAAAAAAAGAAACCCAAAGGTAATGGTTCTGTGAATTGGGGAATGAAGGGCACAAAGGCAAAACCCATATTGTTTTCCAAAATCCCGTGGCAAAAAAAATACGAAGAAAAACTGAAAATTAGAACTAAACCGAACCGGGTTTTTGGTTTGAGTCATATTCTATTCGGATCGAGGTTTGGTTCGGTTCAAGCATATACCCTAACGGTTCGGTTCGATTTTTCAGGAAACTCGGACCTCGGCGATCGGCTATAGGTAGGGGCCAGCAAGGCTGACTTTGCCAGCTTGAAGAAGATGGGAAAAAAAAAAAAAAAAGAAAGAAAGAAAGAAAAGAAAAGAAAAAAGGAAATAAATAAAAAATTTCAAAAAATATTAAAATATTAGGACGGTTGTCATCCATGTCAGTAATTTTCTGCCAAAATTGACTTAATGCACTCAATTGGCACAAATACAAAAGATTTAGGACTGCATTAACACAATTATAGTAAGACTTTTATGGTAATTCTCCCATTGTTCTTTTGGTGGGTTCCGGATTAACGTTTTATAAACTGTGCATTATGTTATTGTTGACACCCAAAAATGATTAAATCTTTTTAATCGACATAATCTTTATCGAGGACCATGACATAGGTCGACGATTATGACTTAACAAATTTGGATAAATGTTGAATGCAGAAACTGAAGACAAAGCAAGGTAAAGGAACAGATTGACAGTTATATCAAATTGCAACTGAGGAGTTGTAACCGTTACGTTATTTGAGCGGTGTCAATTTTATTTTATGGGTTTTATTTTTTTTATCTACATAAGGGTATTTTGGTCATATATAATATATATTCACTATAAATATATTGTGATAGGTATAGGGTTTTTGTAACACATAAGCTGT